AGAGAGGAGAAACTGGATAAGGGGTGGTCCGGGTGGACACTGGATGGACAGTGCATTTTATCTTGCAGGGATAATATAGTCCTTTTAAAAAATTTCTTTACATTTAGTTATTTTGTTAGGGTTAATCGTTTTATTAGTCCATGAATTTAGACCCGATTTGCATTTGAATCTCTCAATTTCCAAAATCGTTTCTGTGGTCCTTCAATTTCAGTTTCATTAAGACAAATGGTTCTACCATCAATTTTGTTAACTATCCTGTTAAATACATGGGCAAAATTGTATTTTTGTATTTAATTGATTAAAATATGAATAAATAAAATAAAATTGAACTCTCTCTCTCCCTCTATCCTGATTTCTACTCCCTGAAACTTGATTTTTCTTTTTCCCTTTTTTTGTTGGTTTTTTATTTGATTTTCTTTTATTGTTATTTTAAAGATATAATTTTTTATTCATTTTTTTTTGTTTTAATATAAAAATACTATTGTGTCCCTGCATTTAATAGAAAAAGTTAATAAAATTGACGGCATGACCAATTGTCCTAGCAAAGGTGAAGTTGAAGGATCACGAGAACGATTTTGGAAATTGAGGAACTCAAATGCAAATCGAGTCTAAGTTCATAGACTAATAAAGCGATTAACCCTATTTTGTTATTTGCTGAGCGAAACTTACATTAAAAACTCGAGGATACGAGTGAATTGCATTAATAAACAAAAAAAGATACACTTAGTCATGAGAAACGTAATGAGCATTACTCTCAAATGCATCTCTATACATATATAAAAGCTTAACAACAACAAAAAAACCTAAAACTAAAACAACAAGTTGCAATGCAACACAAAACAACACTATTTCAAATTTCAATCTATGAATAATATGTAAAAAGACCTTTAATGACCACAAATATTATCACCAAATGACCAAAGCCCATGCTAGACAACTCATTTTCAAATCCTAAAAAATTATTGTAGGAGCTTTTTCGCTCCTGGAGCTACTGTGGGTCTGAGCTGCTGTAAAGAGCCAAATGTGTGAAAATTTTCCCTGAGTCTGAATTCAAAAATCAGACCCCGAGAATGCTTCGAAAGTGTTGCTGAGCTTTAGGAAGCACCTTGATTACCTTCACCAGCAAAACTAACAGTCGCTTACAAATAATTTATTAGCTTGGCATGAGAGGTTTGTGGCATGGAAGTAAAGCAATCATGAGTTTAGCATTAAAGAAAGAGAAAGGGCTGTGAATTCCTATGAGAAGCAGGAGTTCTAAGGAAAGAAGGAAGAGATTCTAAGAAGGTTTGTTGAAGAGAGAGGGAGATGAGGGTGTGTTGAGTAGTTTCCGGCAGATTGACAAAAACTCTGTCAAGCAATGGAACGATTCACAAAAGAGAAAATGGGAAGATATGGAGGAACGAGGCTCGAAAATGCAGAGGTTTCAAGGTGAGAGATGAAGCTTGCTATCTGAATGTATGTTACTTAGGATAAAGAAGAAGGAGATAGAAGGTGAGGCACTTGGGCTTGATGTTTCCAGCAGTTAGAGAATAAGCTTGCTCAACTGCTCTGGTTGAGTTTAATAGGTAGGAGGTACCTCCTTTTATAGCCGATTAAAGCTCCTTCTTCCCAAGAAACACTAATGGGTTCTCTCCAATTTTGCCAAGTCTCCCCTTTCATTTCTCTTCTCTTCCTTTGATCCATCCCCTTTTGTGAAATCCTCCTCTGCCCAATACATAAAGACCAGATTTTTGGGAATTCAGAAGTCTTTCCGCAGCCATTCCAGTGGTGATTTCTTATCTTTGGCTATCATCTCTCCTTATTTCCTCCCCTATTTCATGGCAAGATCTGGTAAAGGAAGGAGATAAGTAAATTTGGCTAGTCTGAAGGCTGCCTTTTCTCCCGTGCGCGCCAATATCCTCTGGTTTTTTGAGCGATTTGCCTTAAGGTTTGTTATCCCCGTGCTGGAGCCTCCCAACAATTCACATACATGGGCAACTTTGGCTTTTGTCGTGGCTTTTGTCTCCAGCTAAGTCATGGAGATTGCAGATATTTTGCTTGGTTGCTTGGGCCTTCCTGAGGTGATGGGTTAACCCATTAAGGGAATGAGCTAATTTCCTAAAGTGATAGGCTATTTTATTAAGATGATGGGCTAATTTTTCCTAAAGTATTGGGCTATTTCTCTCCTTTATGCTTACCCACATATTTGGACTCAAGAAATGGGCTTGAGTTTTGGGGCTCCTAAGCAGCCCAAAACTTCCATTTCTCGGCTCATCAATAGGCCTCATGAAAGCTCGTTACCATCCATACCACAACCCACTCAGTAAGCCCCGGGCATTTTGCGTGGCTTGGGCCCACTTAAGTTTGTAGCATGACTAGGTGTAATAATAATAATTTTCCTCTTGGCATTGCATGTCACTTGGGGTGCTTGAATTTTGTCGCTTTGAAGAGGGATATGACACTTGACTAGATAATTAGCTTGGGCTCGTAAAGCCAATGCTTATTTCAACTCTTAGCATGATAAATTGCATATTTATTTGGCATGGCACGTGGATCATGACTCGTGCGAGCGTGAATGATGAACTTTCGCGTTCTCCAAATTGGGTCTTTTCTTAATAAGGCATTGCATTAGGCCGAGAATTTATTTGGGCCTAACCTTGGACTTTTTGGGTCTCAACAATTGTAATAAGAAGAAGAATAAAAACTCAATTCATTAGGGGTGGTTGCGGTTTGGTAACCGCGAATTTTTCCCGAACCGCAAACCGACTGGCTATTTGCAGTAAGGTGATTTTTAAAACTGCAAAAATCAGTCGGTTACCTTGAATTAACGGTTTAAACCGATTTGAATATTTTGGACCTAAATTAGACAATTTTAGATCTTTAAGTGTGGTCTTTTTGTGTCATAAATATTCAATCTTCCACACTTTTAAGCCTAGGTTTGATGCTTCATTTGAAGCTTTTTGAGTTCAAGCATAATTTAACTAAAAAATATAAATTCACAACCTCAACTTCTCAAGCATACATAAATTCACAACCTCAACCTCAACTTCTCAAGCATTCACAACCTAAAAAAAAATTCAATTCAAATTAATTAAAGTTACAAACTAAAAGGAGAACTCAAGTGTAGGTGGCGGTGAGTGGAGTTTATTATAAGAAAAAGCCCTTCTTTATGAGTTGGAGTGGAGGTTATGTTTCGGGTGTATCGGTTTGTGTTTGGGGAATTAGAGGCATTAGGTGTGTTAGAGTGGCTAGACTCCATCTATAACACAACACAACACAAAAGTAACAACATAAAAGCATATTAATAATATATTAAACTCAACCAAATTAAAACACAACATCTAACTACTAAAATGCACTTTTAAAATATATATATTTGTTGCGGTAACCGCGAGTTGCCAAAATCACATACTGCAACCGCAATTACGGTTAGGTTTCTAAAATTGCAATTTTCAGTCGGTTTTTAGCTATTACAGTTCCAATGCGGTATAATGTCGGTTGATTTTTGCAGTTTTTCGGTTTTTAGGTCTAAAATACTACCCCTACAATTCATATAGCAATAAATTAAAAAAATTTAAATTAAAAAAAAAACATAATGGGAAACTAAAGCTAGAGAGAGAGAGAGAGAGAGAGGCTGGGCTGATAAGGTTTGTTTTCTTATGTTTGGGCTGGGCTAGGCTAATATTATATATGTAGCTTCTTTTTTTGGAAAAAAATTGGGCCAGGTAGCTGCCTAATTTGCCCTTTATGCATGCCCGCTACTATTCTTAACATTTTGAGTTACAAACTCACCTTCCAGTGTTTTATTGTTATTTTCTTACATGATAAAGAAACTTTACACCAACAAGTAAAAGTGATAAATCTTGACATGACTCAAAATTGACATGAAATCGTAATTTTGAGTTGGAAAATGATATGAAGACCACATTATCATATTGTGCATCACATTTTTAATAAAGATATTACCCACTTATCGTCGGGGAATCTTATCTCTAGTTAGCATCTTTTATGTTAAACGAATTCGAATCAATCTGTCAAATTACACAAATCAACACTTGATAACATTATACTTCAGTCACAAACGTACTTTTGTTACTTATAAGAGCAGTGTGTGTATTTGAGAAGAGTGACTCTATTGGAACCCACCTTTTCCATAAGTGTACTCAAAAAAGCTTAACCGATCAACCCAGGTCCATATCAATCAGTCTTGAGGTTGGTCCCCCAATTTTGAGAATAGAAAACAGTCCTAGTATGAACCAATTAATATATTATTTTAGGTGCACAAAAACACTTTAACATAAGCATAATGCATTGAATATAAAACTTTAAAAAGAAACTAATGCTTCGAGCTTATTATTCAAAAGACATCGGTATGCTTCATTTCATTCCAAGCAAAATTCTTGCATATAATATTTATCATCATCAGAACCCATTCTTCTCGTTTATGTTTTATACATGTTCAAACAAGAAAAAAAAATGCCAAAAACGAATTGAACTTGAATTTTGTCGACACAATTTACAACCGTAGTTATGGTAGGCTTACGAGAGCTTGTCGTATAACATAGTTAAGAGTGCAAAAGGCTTCTGTTTAGTTCAATAGATCAATGTTTATTGTATAAGCATGCCTATATGAGAGACTATATGATCATTGCATACGTTTTGTACATTTTTCTTGCCAATGAGTTGGTTTTGTGCAAAGCAAAATTGCAAGGGGAAAGCGATCCCGTTACATGTGGATGCATGCAGGTGCCAAAAGCATATTGTACAAGCAGATCTTTCCATGATACATAAATTAGTTGCTTGCAGCTAATATCTCTTGTCTCTTTCTCTTATCTTCATCATGTACAACAAGGTATTCTTTTTCAAAAAAGTGATACTCGAAGTACGTGAATAGACCTAAAACATCAAAACGCGCTTTAAAAAATTATTACCACTTGCTTTACTATTAGCTTTACATTACATGGATCCAAGGCAAGGAACAAAAAAGTGTGGGGTTTGGAGACAAAATCTATCATACAAATACAGCCATTTGCTCCTCCTATAATCTTCTCTCAAGAAAAGAAAAAAGAAAAAGAAGTAAATGGCACTTAGCAACAATGTCATCGGAGCCATCAACTTTGTTGCCATGCTCCTCTCCATCCCAATCATTGGTGCCGGAATATGGCTTGCCACAGAGCCAGACAATTCTTGTGTCAAGATTTTACAATGGCCTGTCATAATTTTGGGCATCTTGTTCCTGGTTGTGGGCATTGCAGGCTTTGTGGGAGCGTTTTGGAGAATCCCATGGCTCCTTATCTCTTACCTCATTGCCATGCTGGTTCTTATAGTCTTGCTTGCTGCTTTGGTGGTCTTCATTTACATGGTCACCGTTAAAGGCTCTGGCCACCTCGAACCGAGCCGGTCTTACCTGGAGTATCATCTGGATGACTACTCAGGCTGGCTTCGCCGTAGAGTGCGAAGCCCTTGGAAGTGGGACCGCATAAGAAGTTGTCTCAGCTCAACAAATATGTGTGGCGAGTTGAATCAGAGTTATCGCATGGCTCAGGATTTCTTTAACGCGCGCATTACCCCCTTACAGGTAAACAAAACTATATTCATATATATTATAGTTCAATCGCACCTTCAAATGTTTAGATCATTTTTCTTCCAACATTATTAATTCAGACTGAATGTATACAAGATCTGAATGAAACCGATTACCAAGTGTTTGGAACTATAAATTTAGGAGTACTTAAAAAAATATATATATATATATATATATATTGATTTGGATAGTTTTGTAGGATTTAATTCCCTAGGTGAATACATATTTTTACTTTTTTTTTTCTTCTTAAATTAATGAAGAATAATCTAAAATATATTCTTAGATTACAGATGTTCATGAATTTTTACAGATGTTCTTTCCCTTAAAATATATTCGTAGATTAACCTCTCAATAATATAGAACAGCAAATTAGCAACTCAGCAAAACAACCCACTTTACTCTTTCATCAGATATCTTCAAAACCATGTGTGTCAAATATTCTTCTTTTTACCCAAGGAACCTCACCTTTAAGTTATATTTCTTGTGGTGGTGCTTCTTTTTTTTCTTTTTTCTTGCTTTACAGTCAGGATGTTGTAAGCCACCCACACAATGTGGCTACACCTTTGTGAACCCAACGTATTGGATAAGTCCCATAAACAATGCAGCAGACATGGATTGCCTGCAGTGGAGCAATGACCAGACCCAACTTTGCTTCAACTGCGATTCTTGCAAAGCTGGCTTGCTTGCAAATATCAAGAAAGAATGGAGAAGAACCGACATAATATTGCTCATCACTCTTATTGCTCTAATTTCTGTGTATTTGATTGGCTGTTGTGCTTTCAGAAATGCCAAGACTGAGGACCTTTTCAGAAAATACAAACAGGGCTATACCTGATAGCAAATAGTTAAAGGATGCGGTTGGGGGTCTTGTATTATTAGAATTAATATTTGATTTCTTGTATGACTTCTTTTCGTGACATGAATTATTTAGGGTGGTGGTGTTTTCAGAAGGGTTGTTTTCATGATTTGCCTTACTTCGATTTTTGTGTAAAGTTGCCAAAGGTGAACGTGATTTGCGGAGGGAACCGAAAGCTGGTTTTTGCTTTTGAAATACAGACCCTATATTCAGATTTTTTTGTCATTTTTAATGCAATCATCAACTGGCATGTAAGACTTTGTTGACCTTTAGGCTACAGCTGCTGCAAAAAGACATCCCAAGTATGAACTTGAAGAAAAATGAGAAGTTCTGACAAACTAGCTCGTGTCATGTTATCCTAATAAATTCTTCTTCTTCTTTTTTTTTTTTTTGGGTTTTTGGAAGAAATGGGATCCAAATTAAATTATGTAACTAGTCGTACTGATGCATACAACATTCGAATTTATTTTAGGCTTTTTATCACAAAGGTCTATGAGGTTTGCTAAATTATCACATTTGGTCATTTATACCTTTTTCTGACATTATTGGTCTCTTATCACACATCAATTTAGTTCCGCCGTCACGTTCCGTCAAAATTTTCTGTTAGATTGCTAACGTGGATTAAAAAATATTTTAAATATTTTGGGTTTTATCACAAATGATCCCTTTGGTTTGCGAAATTATCACATTTGATCATTTATATTTTTTTTTTCTGACATTATTGGTCCTTATGTTACACATCACATATTAATTTGATCCCACTATGAGATTTCGTTAAATTTTTTTGTTAAATTGTTGACATGACACATATGTGGTGCACACATAGCGAATGAGAAAATGTCAAGTGATTCTAAATGAAGAAATATTTTTATAAAAAAATAGTTTAACATTTAAAATATTTTTAAAAAAGAGAGAAAATTTTCAAAATAGATATTTTTTTTATTCAAATCCACTTGGCATGTTATTAATGGACATGTATGCTCCACATACATGTCGCGTCAAATCCGTTAGGTTTTGTTGAAAAACCTAAACCCTTTAAAAAATAGTTTAGAATTAAAAAAATTTATAAAAAAAATTTAAAAAAAGAGAAAAATTTCAAAACATAAATTTTTTAAATTCAAATCCACTTGGCATGTTATTATTGGACATGTAGGCTCCACATACATGTCATGTCAAATTCGTTAGGTTCAGTTGAAGTCTTCATCAATTTAACAAAAATTTCAACAGAACCTAACGGATTTGACACGGTAATAACATGCCAAGTGGATATGAATAAAAAAACATGCCAAGTGGATTTGAATAATAAAAAAATTCCAAGTGGATTTGAATTTTTTTTTTAAAAACAAATTATGTTTTGAAAATTTTCTCTCTTTTTTTTAATTAATTTTTTTCTAAAATATTTTAAAGGTTAAACTATTTTAAAAAAATATAAAGGACCAATAATGTCAGGAAAAAAAAACATAAAGGACCAAAGGTGATAATTTCGCAAACCTCAGGGACCATGTGTGATAAAACCCAAAATATTTAAAACATTATTTAATTCACGTGGCATCCCCCGTTAGCAATCTAACGGAAAATTTTGACGAAACCTGACAATGGGTCCAAATTGATGTGTGAAGTATAACATAAGGGACCAATAATGTAAAAAAAAAAACATAAATGACCAAAGGTGATAATTTGGCAAATCTCAAGGACCATTTGTAATAAAATAGGCACTTTGGGGCAAATTTATCATTGGACTTTTTATAACATTATTCAACGGCTGGGATCTTACATAATGGTTGAAACATGTTTATAAGCCAAAAGACAATCCTCAAATGGTAGAGTACCACTACTATATCATAATGAAGAAGTTGTAAGACCATCTCCAACCACGTTGGGGCTAAACTCAAATTTTCATCCTCTAAAATACAACTATTCATGTATTTTCAGAACTCAAAATATTTTTTCCTTCAACCTTGCATACTCATAATTTGAGTCCGCAACTTTATTAAATTGTTTAAGAACGATTAACCCTTAATATTTTGTTTTTCTTGTTAATTTTTCTTGACATTATTTTTGTTTCCATACTCGTGATTTAATTTTCTAAACATTTTAACCTAAAAAAATTAAAATTCCAAAACATAATAGAATTTCACTTAAAAATAAAAACAAGTACAACACCATACGTATGCCCGGAATAATTCAAACCATTCATTGAAGCCATTGCCATAATTTTCTTCCATTTTTACTTTTACTTTTACTTCATTGGATTCCTTTATCCTCATTCAATAATATTCTGAACTTTTGCCCACCTCTACTTGTGTTCTTCAATTATTTTCTGAACTCTTTATCATCCCCTATTGTCTTGTTTCAATCATGTTCTGAACCATTGCTCAACTTTGTCCATCTCACTTTATTGGATTCCCTTATCTTTCCTTATCTTTTCCTATCTTCATTCAATTATTTTATGAACCATTTCCTATATTGTCTTGTTTCAATCATGTTTTGAACCATTACTCATCTTTGTTCATCTCACTTTATTGGATTCCCTTATATTTCCCTATCTTTTCCTATCTTCATTCAATTATTTTCAAACTCGTAGGTCATCTCATTCTCTTGTCTATTTAAGAAGTGTTATTTTACTGAATTGACCACACAATCTCCTTCAATTCTCCTTCTTACAATGAATTCCTGTGGGAAGGCTATACAAAATTTCTTCAATGATGATTCTGATAATGATGACCTTCATCAACAGAGGGTTGCAATGGCTGTTCAACACCATACGTTTTTGCTAGAGCAATATGCTCAACAATCCAAATATGGTGGTTCTGTTGCAGGCCGTGAATATAAGAATCGAAAGAGAGAAAAACATCATAAGAGTCTCATGGAGGACTACTTCTACGAAAGACCACTTTATCCTTAGTGGAGTTTCGCAGGCAGTTCCGCATGAGAAGAGGGATTTTCTATCGCATCTTAAATGATGTTGTTTCATATGAGCCATACTTTACCCAGAAGGTAGACGCTTGTGGACGACAAAGTATATCCCCAGAGCAGAAGCTAACAGTAGTTTTTCAAATGCTCGCATATGGATGCTCGGCAGACTCCACTGACGAGTACTATAGATTGGGTGAATCTACAGCCCTTGAATGTTTGCGAAAGTTTTGTTCTGTTATTGAAGCAGTGTATGGTCAGTGGTACCTCCGTTCCCCAAATCTGACCGACCTTTATAGGCTCTTGCACAAGGCTACTCACAGAGGATTCCCAAGCATGTTAGGCAATCTTGACTGCATGCATTGGGAATTGAAGAATTGCCCCACTGCTTGGGCATGCCACTACAAGCATAAGCCAACTGTCGTTCTAGAGGCAATGGCCTTGTCTGACACTTGGATATGGCATGCCTTTTTTGGAGTTGCCAGATCGAACAACGATATCAACGTTATAGCTCGTTCACCATTGCTCAATGATGTAGTGAATGGAGTGTCTCCCCATATCCAATATGTTGTCAATGGAAATGAATATAATCTAGATTATTACTTGGCTGATGGTATCTACCCTCGTTGAGCTACATTGGTTAAGACGATTTCCCAACCGGATACTCCAAAAAAATACTATTTGCCCAAAAACAAGAGGCTTATAGGAAGGATGTTGAAAGAGCCTTCGGAATACTTCAGGCTCAATGGGCAATTGTTAGGGGACTTGCACGTATGTGGCGCAAAGAACAACTTCATTCAATCATAATGACGTGCATAATATTGCACAACATGATTGTTGAGGATGAGTATGAGGATATAGATGCAGCATCTGATGATGAAGACAATTTTCCACGAACATCTAGAATAGCAAGAGCAAGACTTGCTTATGAGCTTAAGCCAACAATCACGTACTATATAAACCAAGACAGAAAAACTATCTCAGACTACATGATCCGTCATAATAGAGTTCATGCTTTGCAAGCGCATCACAATCTAATAAATGATTTGATCAACCACATTTGGAGATGTGAAGGAAAGGGGCAATGAGCTATGTAGTGTGTTTAAATTATATTGTGTGTTTAAATTATCTAAGCGTGTTTAAATTATGTTGTGTGTTTAAATTATGAAAGTGTGTTTAAATTATAAAAGTGGTTGTGTGATTTTAATGAATTATATGGTTTATCATTGAATTTAAAAAATAAACTAATCATAGAAAAATAAACGACAATCCATAAAAATAAAAAAAATAAAAAAATTATAAATAAAGATAAACAACAATTACAAATAAAGATAAACGATAATTAAAAATAAAGATAAACAACAATTAGAAATAAAGATAAACGACAATTATAAATAAAGATAAACAACAATTACAAATAAACATAAATTAATAATCACTATGTGGAGGGCTTGGATAATAGTCTCCAGAGTTGTCTTCTGGATTGTAGGGAGAACTTGTATTCATCTACGCCTCAATAATTTCGTCTTGCTTATTCCCCCAATACTTCTTCTTTCTTGGAGTAAATTTGGATAGGTCCATGGACATTATCCTCTATTCATTGGCCTCCTTATCTTGTTGGATTTGATATGCATGTTGCTCTTGTAAGAGCTCTAACTTTTGCCTCTTATCCTTTTTTGCCCCATTTCCTTATTGAACCAATTCAGACAAGAACTTATCACTTTGGTTGATATAACTTTCAACACATTTCCCTTTCTTTTTTTTACAAATTTATAAATAAACCCAATCCTAGACATGTATTTATAAAAAAAAACCCAAACACTATTTAAACATAGAAACACACCCAAAATCAACAATTGTATATTTTTTGGGTGTGTTTATAAATGGGTTTTGAGTGTGTGTAATGATGAGTTTTTGGTGTGTTTATAAAGTATTTTGGGTGTTGGGTTTTTTTATAATTTCAGCCTCCATTTTGGGTGTTAGAGTAGGCATGACCACATCATCTTCATCTTCCTCCAAATTGACTGTATTGCCACTATGAAAAGAATCTTTGAATATTTGTGTGGGTGATTCACATAGGTCGTTCCATTTTGGGCAATCTTTTAAGATTTGCCAAGCATGATACAACTTGAAAGGCCTATTCGGAGGTTTATTATCATTCAAGAAAAGTGTTTTTGAATTCATATCCTACCCATGAAATAAAATAAAAATCAAGTTAATAATTGAAAACAATTAAAATTATAAACTTAAGCATTGAAAAAAATGGGTACTTACCACATCTTCAAGATTTGAGCCACTCACATGCCTTGCATTGGCCTTTGTTATACATGCCTTCCAAAGAGAACATTGTTGGTTGATGATCTTGAACCAAGAGCAATAGCTTGCGGTGATCGTACCCCGGCTCTGCTCATGCCCGGATCATTTTCCAAAAAAATTTGGTACACACGCAACCAAAATGAGTCGTTTGATTGATTCGTGCCAATAGCCCCATCTTTAGAGACAAAAACCCACCCTCTGCACAATGCCTCATCTTCTTGTGGTTTCCAATTCACACCTCTTTGGGGTTTTGGGGCCATTTTCAACAAAAATGAATGTAGAATGAAAAATTATAACAAAGGGAGAAAGGAAAAAAATAATTTTTGGTGGATTATTTACCAAATAAATGGCTATTTATATAGTTTGGAATAAGTTTTGGGGTTGGATCTGACTTAAATTAATTATAAATATTAATTTGACCGTTGGATGTGAAATTTTACCGTTGAGATTGCCTAAAATGAATCAGAATCGTTGATTATATTTTTATAAAAAACAGCACAACATATTATTTGAAAAAGTAGTCATTGGCCATCAATAAAGGAATGGGAATCTGCTTTCCCACTTGTCAGCGGGCCCAACATCAAATGGCCATCACGTGGGCTTCTAGCATTCAATAAAAAAAAAAATTTAAAGCAGATTTTGGGCCCACAAATTTATCAGTTCAAGCATAAATCAGACTGGAATTCCAGTCCAGTTTTAAGATTTCTCAGATTTTCACCTCCCAAAATACATGGGTTGGAGAAGCTTTTTGGAGGCTAAACTCAAAATTTGAGTTTCCACCCCTTGGGTTGGAGATGGTCTAGTATGTGGTATTTAATGCCTAAATGTGGTTAAATATCGAAATAATTTCATTGAGATTGAAGTCAACAATCCTTCCAAATAAACTTGGCATGACCAAGTAGGTCGTTCTCTAAAAGGAGTTATAATGCTATTGCAATTTACAAACACAGATTGAGCATGCAATCAATATTACCTTTTTACTTGTGCCTTTGTTGTTTTTCAACTTTTTTTTATAGGTGGTGTTGCTAATACTTTAGTTGTTATAGATGTAAAGACATATCAAGTAAGTTATTGTTTTGCTTTGGTTGTTGATGATGCAAATAAATTTCTATTATACTTTGACTGTTGAGGATGCAAATAAATTCAAGTAGGTTCATACTATTTTCAATGGTTGTGAAGGATGCATAGAAATTCAAGTAGGGTGCTGTTTTTTTGTTTCAACTATTGAGTATGCAAAGAAATTCAAGAAGTCTATTGTTGTTTTGCTTTGGTTGTTAAGGATGCATAGAAATTCAAGTAGGTTTATGTGGATAACGGAATGCTCAAGGAAGGTGGAGAAGAACTTATCAATCATGTGGAAGTTTTAGCTTTAAAAAACAGAGTTAGAATTTCATAACATGTGTCCTTTCTTCAAATTACATTGTCGTTTGAAGATAGAAATTATTGAATACTACAAGTATTTATCTTGTTTATTCACTATAATATATCAAACTTCTCACATATTTGGTTTTTTGATTATTGAAGTTTGAATGATATCAATTATTTATCTTGAATGTTAAATTTTTAGTTAACTTTGACATGTTAAATTTTTATCTTTTTGCTTCAAAAATGAGAGTGAGTGTATCACATTAGTAAAATATGAAACTTGTAGACTCATGACTCTCATATGTATTATACACGTACATATATATTTTTTCACGAATAATACATGTTCTTTAATATTTTGTAATAATATATGTATTGTTTGCATATATTATCCTTAATTTTCAAGTGTTGTTGAAGAAAAGACTATTGTTGGGGCCCAAAAAGTTCAAAAGCCAAAACGTGCTCAAATACGGCATGAACATGCAGAGCCTACACCTAGTAGCAAGGATTAAGAAAAATTCATTCGTGATGATTTTCATGCTATGTCGAGTGAAACTATAATTTGGCTCTTGGGAAGATCACACCAAACTTATGCAATCTACTCATTCATTAGGCGATGAACAAAGTCGTGTCAAGCCCATGCCCTTCGAGCCAACTCTTTCGCCACGCATAAAAATACCATGCAAGTTTCCAGCCGCTGCAATTCAAGCTTTTGGCTACTTTATATTGCCCAACACGTGCTACATGTATCCTTGCAATGCCATGTAACTTCCTTTGTACCAAACTATCCAACAAGCTTAAGTGCACACAACCAAGGGCTTGCTAAGTGGGTTGTGATGTCAATGGTGATAAGGTTCCACAATTCCCATGATAGACTTTAGGATGAAGGTTTTATGCTATTTATGGGCACCAAAACCCAAGCTCATTTGGTAAAGCTCATCCACATGGGTAAGCATCAAACAAAGCTAATGTTCCTTTACAAAACCCACCAAACCTTCCCAAACTCAAACCAAAAGCCAATGAAAAACAATTAAACTAGCTTAGAACCCAAAATGTCATTCAGAAAGCCATAATTATTTAATATGTTGATAGCTAGAATCTTACCTGCAACGAGTTTTTGGAAGGAAAAGAGCAAGAAAGAAAAATTGACATATGCCAAGAAAGGAAAATCTTGCAAAAGCTAGCTGCAGAAAGATGTTGGGCATTGATCTCTTTTGTCCAGCAACTATTGGATGATCTTTATGTTGGAAGGCTCATATAGGCTTCCCCTATTTTTGAGTTAGCAAGACTGGGCTGAAAATACCCCGAAAGAGAGTGGATCTTAGGGAGTGCTTAAAGGAAAATCAGAAAATGGTTTGATATATGAGGCATGAAGTGTTGAGCTAAAAGACCCACAAGTTTAGCAACTGAGAATGCATGTGTTCCCCTTGGTGTTGACTATGTTGAAGCCCATGGTCTCACAATCAACCCTCTTTTGGCCCCTACGTCTTTGTCATCACATCTAAAGGTCGACGTCCTCATCGGCACACTTTCGGTTAGGTCTAGCCCTGATACCAAATTGAAGTAAATTATTATAACTAAAAAATTATGGTGTCTTTAATTTTCTTTCACTAATTACTACATATTTTCTAAAGTTACAGTGTTTGTTAGGTCGCTACATAATCAGCTTAAATCACTCAAACCCACCATGCCATGCATTTTCTTCCAATTTTTTGTGATAAAATAATAGACAATTGACTAAAAAAACATCCTCTAAAGTTTCAATAAAAATTTCCAAGTTTTTCTCACAAGTTCCGTGATTTTTATTCAATTTTTATTGATATCGATATTTCCTCGATATATCCGTGTTTTTGGACCACCGATATTTCCGAAACTCCCAATATTTTAGACCTTGGTCTCAAGTAAGTTTGTGTACGAGCTCTGTGTAGCTTTCGGGCTTCAGATCTCCA